GGGCCTGCACCGCGCTGTGAGGGACGCGCCGGCCGGGCCCCGCGCCTCCCCTCACCCCGTCCCCACGGGCCGCGCCGGCCCCCGGTTCCCCCGGCGGCCTTGTAGCCACCTCGCCTCTCCCCGGGGGTGTCCCCGCGGCCCGGGCGGCGGTCGGTGGTGTGACCGGAGGAGGGCAGGGGCGAGCGGGGCGCGGCAGAGCTGGTGCTCGGTGCCCGCCGGGCCTCACGCTCCTTCGGCAGCAAAATTGGCTCCGTTTCCAGGATTCACGGCGCTGTCTGGGCTGGGGGGGCGCGGGGCCGGGCCGGGGGGGTCCCGGCCGCGGTGTGAGCGGAGGCTGCGGGCGCTCTCGGCCATCCTCTTTGTCCCCGTGCGGTTCCCTCGAAGGGGGCATTGGCCCGACGCAGGTGCTTGCAGCACCTCAAGAGGCTTTTTTTGCGTGGTGTGGGGTTGTCACAAGTGTCCGGCAGCGATTGTCCACTTGGGGTGCGAGCAGCCACTTTACCTCCCCGGCATCTCTGTTGTTATTACTGAGTTATTCCCTAAACCTTTGGAGGGCTGAAGGATGTTTCTGGTGGGAATTTGCTGTGTTAGGGGAGCGTCGATGCTACCCAATGGGGGAGAAAATGAGCTGCCGGGACATTAATTAGCTGCCTGAAGTCTTGTAGTAAAAAAAATGGATTTTCCTCCTTGCTTTCATAGAAGGATATTTCCTTGATAATGTGGTGTAAGAATAGCTGTATGAATAAATGATGTGTGCTGATACAAAGGTTTGATGTTGGCCAGGGTGTGGGATGTGAGGTGACTCATGTAGCATAAAGATTGGCAGAAACTGGAAGGGAGATTGGAAGAGCGGAGGTTTTAATTTATTTTGCCTTAAGCATCTTCATACTCTGCTGGCTTTCTCCCAGGCAGGGAGGAGGGAGTGTCTGAGCTGGCTTTGAGAGCTGAAGATGGTCCTACTGGGAATTTCCTTGTAGCATTCCCTTTTATGAAGGGCAGAGGAGACTGCTAACAGCTCTCCTGGTGTCAAAGGAGCTCTCTGAAATCAATGTGAATGCAGCACTTGTCTCCTTTCGAAAGGCTTTCAGTGATTCCGCTGAGTGCAAGGGTGAGCTGGGCAGAGATGCAATAAAGATGAGCTTGTCCAAACAGTTCTCAAGAGCATCTAACGAGGCAACCCTCAGAAAAGGAGGGCAAGTGTCAGGCTGGCACCTCAGAGGGGGTGAAGAGCAGGTGCCCTTAGTGCTGTGTGTGTCCTGTGAATGTGCCTGAGGGTAGAATAAATATTACATGTGGGAGAGAGCTTCAGTTTGTTCTGTGTGGATTTTTTCCTTCCACAAAGTAGTGGATTCTGTTTTTCCTTCCTTTCTGTCCCCATATTAAAGTTTCAATAAGTTGAGCAGGATATCAGAGCTTTGTGAATCAGACTCTTTCATAGATTTTGTTTTCCCTGGCTTTCTTTGAAACCATCTTTGAAAGTGAAAAGCTTTTGATTATGGCTGTTTTATGCCCCTCTGTGGAAGAGAAATGGGACAATGTCCATCGTTTCATTCATATGGTTGCCACCGTTGTCACTTCCTGCTTCCTTTTCACCTCTTTGAGCAAATACAAT